TAAAAAGGATCTGGGGAATGCATTTACGACAGCAAGGTTAAATAGATCTATCAATAACATTAATAGTGGTTAGAGGCTGGGGCAGGGTGGCACATCAGTGTTCTGCACTCTATACAAACAGGTTGTCATGTATGTTACTGTACAGTGTTCTCTTGAGAAACATCCGAATATATATCATGAAAGCAGCTTTGGTGCTTTGCTCGCTCCCATGTTAACACAGCACAGGCAAATTATTCCCCAGCTCAAATTTAATTACCACTCAGTATGCTGGGGATTATGCAAAGTAAGTAAACATTAAAAGAATGACATTGGGGCTGTCTCCTGAGGTATAGTCGCTGTAGCTGTCACATATAATTATTCATTATTGCTTTTCGCGTGAGGGGCAATCTTATCGAACGTGTGACCATGTAACCGCGCCGAAAATGATCATGAATTTTCCATCCTGGCATAAAAAGGTGTTCTTAGGCAGGATGTTATCAGAGGATACATGTTTTAGTGCAAAGTCAAGCAGCTAATACAAATGCATGAAGAATGCAGGGGGAAGAGAACACTGACATTGAGACAACTGTGAGGAGATGAAGTAAACTTCAGGGAGCCTTTCAGAATATCAGAATAATAATATGGGCTAAATTCTTTTAGCTAACATCTGTGCAAAATTTTATTTTTTTAACACTGAAAATTATTCATGGACACACTTCAAATATGTTGAACAGCATTAGGACCAGAGAGGAAGCTTTCAGTGTCCTTAAAGTTTAGATCTACTGTGCTTAAACTGTTGAGACTGGAGCCATGTCTTCTGCAACAAGCGCTTCTTAAAAGTTACATGGGCATAAATGTTTTTAATTTAGATTTATATCTGTATTCATTTCTTTGACTTTCCAATATCCCACTGAGATACTAACATGATTAAACTCTGCTGCAAATGACACACAGTGAGCAACTAATGGTTACCTAATACAAAGCAGAAATACAATGAACCTATGAATCAAGCTGCACAGCCATGACAAAAAGGGAGATGCACATAAATCCCAATTAAAGCACTCCCTATTTTAAATCAAAGAAAAAGCTTACATAACCACAATGTGCACAGTCAGATCAGTCGTGTAAATTGGTGCATGAGTGGTGTATGTGATGTCATTCAGGAACCGAAACAAACAACTAATGTCTTTCGTAGAGCACTGGAACACTGGGCTCAGGTGTTGCCAGTGTTGCCTTACAGGAAAAAAACCACACCGCCTCTCCAGTGCCTGCAGAGAAGAAGTGCCACACAGGCAGAATGAAAGAGGGGTGGGGTGAAGTGAATCATCTAAGAGTTCTTCATGTTTGAAGCTGGGGTATTTTGTGTTTATTTCAATAACCTAGAATGAGTTTAAGTGTTTGGTTTTTTTTGCCAAGACCCACTGATCCTGTCAGTGATTAACAGGAAATGAGAATTGTATTACTTTTTTATCCTATTTGGACTGCCTTTGTTTTCTTTCTATTAGTTTTAGATATTTGTGCAATGCAAATCTTAGCCGATGTGTTACCCTCCTGAACTGATGACCCTTTGTCATGCTCAGCCTAGGCTTTGTTCATTTAAAAAAAATTAATACAAAAAACAGATAAAAGATAAGTCTCCAGTTTTTCTGGTAAAATCAACAGTGATTGAGGTAAAAAGAATAATAAAATAAAGCATAAAGCATTTCTGATCAGATCAAAATATCTGATGTTTTGTGTTTAGCTTCTGCACTGGCCTTGTGCAGCGAGTAGAAATACAACACAGAAAAGCATAACACTGCTGAAACAGGCATAGCACACAACAATCAAACACTTTGGAGCATTACTTTGTGGGTGTTGCAGAGTACTGTGCGCAGCAGAATTTCCTATATATAAATAGATAGCTGTGTGAGCCAGAGTTCTTCAGCAGCAACTATAGACACTATTTCATTTACACGCTGCATTACCATTACTCATGTTGCTTTATTTCACCGTGATGTCTATGCCCTTTTCCTGGGGACGTCCAATTATGTCAATATTTCTGCCAATCCAATGAAAATTTATACAAACTGTTAAGCAGTGACCTTTTGGAACTAAACTAATATCTGCTGCATGCATACAGGAATGTGCATTAGGCACATACATTTGGGCATATGTTTACACGCATAAGGAGGAGTATTCATATAGATAACTGTTATATTTCTGCTGGTAATGCTGGCATTTTCTCCCTCTGTCCATGAGATTTGCCTTTTTTATGCTCTTTCAGTGGAAGCTACACAATGCACTGACTCCTATTGCTGGGTTATGCATTTTGAACACACCCTCAGACTTTCTGCAAGAAGAAGATGATGGGCAACTGTCATGTTCTTCAAAGCAAATATTTCCTCTTTGCCACATTGACGGAGGCACTCCATGAAATGTGTCTTTTTGTATGGAACTCATTCATTATACATTTCTATTTATGATCAAAGAGAATGAGCTCAAGACAGGAACTTCAATGTGACTAGTTCATTAAAACTGCCCCGAATATGCTGAATTAAGTCTCTGTCTCTTTTTTGGGGGGGCTGTCAATTACTGAAAACTGCATTCAGTGTATATTAATTATACGTCATCAGTACAAATGTCCTGCACAAAAGATTCTGCAAAATAACTTGAACCTTTGATCCACACAGTGGGACGAATTAAGTGACCAGCATGCTCTGAGTGCCATTTTGCTCTTATTGTATAATCATCTTTGGCCTCATTGAGGGAAGGTTCACTGCAATACAGAGTTGTTCTGAGTGTCCATTTCTATCCTATGATGACATACTTCAGTCCTGATAGTAGTGGTCTCTTCCACAATGACAATGCCACCATCACAAGAGGTCACTGAATTGTTTGAAAAACACAGAATTATAGTCTGTGTTCTTCACAGTCACTGGATCTCAACCAATTTACAAGCCTATGGGAGATGGAAGATTAACATACTAGGCACAGCTCTGCACCGCCATTATTAAAACACCAAGTTAAGGATGATCATTTGGAACAATTGTGTTTTTCCCTCCAGCATAGACTTGTAAAAATCAATGCCAAGGAGCTCTGAAGCTATTTTGGCAACTCGTGCTTTATGTGGGGTTTTCCTTTTCGGGTATCCTTGTGTTGTTTCTCATTTCCTCACACGCCACATTCCTCTATATTCCACGATACATTACTATGAAAGTTTTAATCCTTTGTAAGGTTTTTTCTTTTTAGTAAAGTTCTATTTTTCCCTACATTTTCCTGTGAAAATCTCGTTACTGAATCCCAGAGGTGTTTGCCTGAGTGTCTGCACTGGAACTCTGAGTCATCGAGTCTGTTACCATCTTTTTTGCTGGATGTCATTTCACTGCTTACAGTGTATCACCTACTTTTTCTTACTACTGTACCAGTAGTGCCAGGAAAGAGGCTAAGAAAAGAAAAGAAAAGAAAGGAAAGGAAAGGAAAGGAAAGGAAAGAAAAGGAAAGGAAAGGAAAGGAAAGGAAAGGAAAAGAAAAGGTTATTTACTGCTAACAACCACCTTTTGCTTTAACCACACTGAAGACACGTTAAGTCACTTCTACCTTTCTTTTAGCATATTTTGCATGTCAAATCAGCTGTAATTGTAGTCTTTGCCTTCACTTTGGATGTGAATGTGGATTTATTTTGTTAGACTCATTAGGAACTTTACTAATTCAGAGCAACAGGTCGGAAAGTGACTTAAGATGAAGGCTGGTTTACATTAGTCTTAAAGTGCTATGTGCTACTATTTTATGTTATGTTATGTTATTTGACAATAGAAACTGTTATATTATTGGGAATAAAATTCAAAAGTATTATCGGGCTGTATTTTAATCTCACAAAAAGAAGTAGGAAATAAGGTGTAAGCCACATTTACCATACATTGTGTTAGTGGTTCTAACACAAAACATATATTGAGATTTTGCCATTGTAGTGGGGACATTTTCATCAAAAATAAAAGCAATCCAGAGGTTCTGCTGGAATGCATGAAGATTCTTAGATTCACTCTTACAGCCAAACAGTTCCTCTGCTTTGCTCATAGTTTTTACACTTTAGAGACAGATTTAGTGGAAGCAGCTCTGGCTTTCTGGCAGCTGGCTGCATCGGGACATGAAGCCGTTTTCTTTGTTTGAGGCTCTGCCAAACCAACCACTAGGCAGGCATTATGACAGTGGTGCAGATAAGTAACAGAAGAAAGGGCAGGACTACATATGAAACAATTGAGCAACAGTGTTTTCTGTGGGAGACGGTCATTCTAACTGGTACAGACTGTTCATAGTTTGGAAAGCTTTTTTTTAATCCACCAAAGCTATATCAAATTGTTAAAATTAGGGGGAGAAAATCCCCAAAGCACAGTGGGAAGGTGTACAGAGTATGACAAACCTCAGATATCTGTAAATGTTAAATTATATACATGCAACAAACTAATTAAAATTAAAGGTCTATTGATTAATTCTCTATCTACTATATCTCCCCCTATCTATTTTCACAAAAAGAAGCACCACTGGGATGTTCCTGGTGGTTGGTGTCGATTTATCTGTGTCCAGGTTGGGCTTAGGCTGGTGTCTCATCA